CTAACAAATAGCCATGTTTTAAATCAAATATCAATAAAAAAAACTACATTAAAGCTATGGGGGAATGTAAGGGTAGCCATTTTATTAGCATTGTTCGTGCGCTAAGTTTGAAAAAAATGTTTCCCCATTTTTAGGAGAAATTGTCATTTTTACTTTTTTATTCCAACTTTAAGGGGTGCATTTTAGTATCTAGGTAAATTAAATCTAAACAATCCATTTTGATGTGTAGTTTCCGCTATACATATAAGTCTGACTACATATTTTATATTCACCCTGTATATTTCTGAATCTGTGAAGTTAAAGTATTGAACCCTACACACATAGATACAACGCTTAGTATGCAGTGTAGCTGGGTTGGCTGTCATCAAAATAACACAATTATATTTTCCGCGGGAGAGAATGACATCTTCTGGTTATAATTACAATAGGAATGGGAGATCGAGACGTGACAAAGTTAGGAAGTGCAGGATCTGTGCCTGATATGTAGGTCATCCAGACAGAACCGAATAAAAAATACCCTGTGTCGCTTATAAGGAATCATTTATTTATAGTTTGGGTTTACAAACACAACAACCCGTTTTAGGAACTATACAGACTCTGCTTGGTATACGTTTGATACCTACCACAAAGAAAATAAGGAACTGTTTTCAACGAATCCTTGATCAGGGCACTCTATAAGGAGGCTATAGAAATCCAGAAGGTTCGGGATAATTTCAGTCAAAACGAGATGTTATTATATTACACAGTTAACTTTGAGAACTGGCTTAAAGTTGTAACAAGTGGCAACGCTCCTAGTGCACTGATACAAATTACCATGCTAATTCCAAAAAAAAACTAACCCTCAGTTAAAATATACGCCATATAAATGTTTTGTGTGTTGCAAAAAATTTTACGAATACTTTACAAGAATAATTTATTGCCACAAATTGATTGTACATCTTAAAAACATTTAAAATTATTTAAAAAGACAGTGACGTACGATTTTTTTTCTAAAAAAATCCCCTACTCCCCAAATAACTACACCACTGGAGCGTATTTTGGAATAAATTATCCATGAAAAAATAGTCCCTACTAAACAAATGTCATCCCCCAAATTTTATCACTCAATCTTTTATGAAGAAGAAGAAGAGAAGTTACAGGAAAAATCATATAAATATTTTAAACATTTAACACCCTGTATCAAAATTTTTTATATGGCAAAGGTTGATTATTTTCATCGGTAGAATACGCCATTAAAGTTTGGCAAAACTTTTCATTAACACCATCTATAGGAAATACGTTTTAATTTATTTAATGTTATGGTTATCGAAATTTTATTTAATTTTTATGTACTCCAAAAATTTACTTGTTAAAATTCTTCAGGTAACACAGGATTCAAATTTTATAGGTGGACAAATATGGGGGAAGAAAATATTTGTTTTAATACCAAATATAAATCCATTGTTTAAACGATGACATAAATCAATTATAATTAATACTGATTTAAAGAAATATTGGTCAAATATAGAATTAGAAATACAATAGATTTTCTAGATTTTTCTCAAATCATTATTCTTATGTACAAATGTGCCCCAGTCCCTGGAAGGTGTATTCGCGAAAATGCCATAGAATTGATTTCTTAGAAAACAATTAGCCTACTCAAGTAATACGCAGATAATTAAAATTTTCCCGGATATCACCCGAGATGCTTGTCCCTGACAGCACCAATCAACGGATATTAATGAACAAGTCACTACAGTCTGCTGAAGTTGCATATCACAAATTTTATTAAAGAGATATTAATTTATCGTCTTCGTTAACATTACTTCGACCATTTTGTTTTTTCGTTCTGGTAGCGCCATGGTTTGATTGAGACTACAATACTGACAATTATAGCTCTGTATTAATTTGAAGTGGAACACATTGTATACCCTTTTATTATGTCAATGGATGTTTAAACTTATTGACATTTACATAAAAATCTTCAAAACTTTGACCTTGAACACGTCTTTTGCTTTCAAACCGACAGAATTTAAATTTTAATCGGTAGCCTGCGACATTGACGAGTTTATTAATGCATTTTATTCCGCCGAAACCCAGAAAAACAAGAAACTGGGTTAAGGTTGCGTTTTATTATCATATATATGAAATTTTTCCGTTATAATAAATATTACGGATAAGAAACTAAGCGCAACAATCGCATTTCTCCTTGTATATCCCCTAAAAGGGGAAATTATTATTCCTGCTTTTAACTCAGCCAATTAGATCCTTACATTTTATTAGTTTGCTAAAATATTAATGCAATTCTCTAAAATACTTACCATAAGTACAAGGTGTTTAGAAAATAACCGAACTTTAATTTTTTAAACTTTAAACGTTGAACAAAATTTGCCAAGTTGGTTTTGTTCCAAAACACGGAAAGGTATTTAGTTTTATTACCTAAATTTTGTATTTAAATATTAGACCAGGGCAGATCTGTGGAAATATCCCACTTCTTGAATATAAGAATGGGCAAGCTAATTTTTGCTGGAATATCTTCACTACAACTCACATAATAAAAGTGTAGATCCCTAGATCTAGGTGAGGTCGGGAACATTTTAAAAATTGCAAAAATGTTTAAAAAATTTTTAAAAATACTTATTTTATGTGAGTTTTTACTTATATCTTGGAACCTATGCATTTTGGAAGAATATTGAAGAGGAAAAAAGTATTAAAATTGAATTTTGCAGAATATACTGTAAGTTAAAAATGTTTAAATTTATTACCGATGTTGCAAAATATTAATAATTGATTGAATGAAAAAGGCAAAATAATCAAGTTTTTTTGGCTAATTTTTTAAAAATATTTTAATTGCTCCGAGGGCATTCTAATTTTGGTAAAAAAAACTTTAAAGTATAATAAAACAACACACCAAATGTCATTAAAATCGGTTCGATAGTTTGCACAAAATAATTTTTTGAAAAAAATTTTCGAATTTTTAAAGTTAACACTTTTTTTATTTTTAAACAATTAGATTACATTTATCAATTTGCAATTTAGTTTTTTTTCATAAATTATAATTTTAAAATACTCGGAAAGACGCTTCTTTTAAACAAAAAAAAAAGTTAAATTCCGTTTATTGGTTCTCGAGATATAAGCGAACAAAGCTTTTAGGCAATTACCGTTAATTTATAAACAATTTAGCAATAATCTTTGATCCAGTTGCTCCGTTTTTCCTAGTTCTAAACTGAAAAAAATTTTCATATCCATAAGTTATCGGCAACATAGGTAAATCAGCGGAAAAATTGTCGCTCGCACGCGCGAAAAGTCACTCAAAACTCGAAAAGTGGGAGAGGGGGCTTTCGCTCCGAAACTGAATTCGGAGGTTCAAAATGCGAAGGTATGAAAAAAATTGCATTATCTCGGCTTCTAATGGACCAATTTCGATCTTTTTTTATTAATCCGATATCTCGCGAGCCAAGGAATACGAATATCGTAATGCCAACTGTCTAATTTGCACATATTTTGTTATAAACAAAGTTTATTATTTATGCATTAAATATACTGTATATTTAATGCATAATCGCATTTTTTTCAATGAAAAAATTTGTTTACGTGTATATTTCAACACACTGAATATGAATGTATTTAGTTATAATTATCGCAATTATTTAAATAATTTTTGTTTAAAATTAAAAAAAAATTATTTGGGAATTAATTTTTTTGTTAAATACAGATAAAATTAAGAAAAAATACTACTTTAAAACTATACTTTTTGAGAAACACTAAATTGCATATTGATAAATGTAATCTAATTGTTTACAAATAAAAAAAAAGAGTGTTAACTTTAAAAATTTACTGTGGCCGTCCTAATCAACCGATTTCAATTTTTCAAAAACCATTTAAAAGGTTGAGCGGTCTTTTCTATGTGAAAAAATTTTCAAGTATGTAGATGTTTTATTTGAGGCTGAGCAACATTTTGAAAATTCGAAAAAAATTTTTCAAATTTTTTTTCAAAAAATTATTTTGTGCAAACTATCCAACCGATTTTAATGAAATTTGGTGTGTTGTTTTATTATACTCTAAAGTTTTTTTTACCAAAATTAGAATGCCCTCGGAGCAATTTAAATATTTTTAAAAAATTATCCAAACAATTTGATTATTTTGCCTTTTTTCACCAATTATTGCTATTTTACAACATCGGTATTAAATTGAAAAATTTTTAGCTTACAGTATATTGTGCAAAATTCAATTCTAAAACTTTTTTTCCTCTTCAATATTCTTCCAAAATGCATAAGTTCCAAGATATAAGTAAAAAATTCAGAAAAAATAGGTATCTTTTTAAATTTTTAAACATTTTTGCAATTTTTAAAATAATCCTGGCCTCGCCCAGATCTAGGGATCTACACTTTTATTATGTGAGTTGTACTGAAGATAATCCAGAAAAAAATAGCTTGCCCCTCTCACATCCACCTCAAAACAGATCCGCCCTGGTCTATGTTGGCAGTGAATTTCTTTAACGATGTTTTTCTCTCAACCCCGTTTTTAAGACACTGTAAAATTTTATCATTCTTCCGAAGGTATAGAAATTCGATAAAAATTTCGTCTGTCGTTCCAAATAATGGCTAAAAATCTGTTTACCGATAAGCATGTTTGTTTAATTTAGGACGCTATTCTAGTGGAAATCACATTTTCATTGCCACTTTATATGTTAATGTGTGTTGATGTATCGATCGAACTACATTTGTGGGTAAAAAAACATCTGTAGTAGCGGAATACCACAGAAAATACCATAAGGTACTTGAATTAAATACCAATTAAGAGAGTCGTCATGGTTACTGATATTAATCAATAACAATGGTTCAATTTTGGTATAAATAATATTTAATCATTTGTTTTAATGAAACTTCGTAATCAAATTCGATTTTGACAATTTTTGTGTTTTAAATTTAAAGTTTTTTTTTTAAATTTAAATTTAAATTGACACCTCACTATGGAGGAATTACGACTGACTCTTGCTGTAACAATAAAATCTCTCCTAGGTATGTCTGCGAACTCCAAGTCCAACCCCAACAACATCTCCGAAGGCGACGACTCCTCGTTGCGTTCGCTGAGCTCCGAAGACGTCTCCCAGGCGCCCAGGGGATACTGCTGTGCCAAGTCCATCAACCCCGCTGATGGCAGGGGTAGGAAACTACACCTGCTGCAGATGCTGGTGCTGCCCTTCATCCCCATCATGGCGCTGATCGTGCAGACGGCCATAATACTGGACAACATCATGATATACAGGAACGAAGTGATGGACATAGAGAGCCAGGTAACGACGCTTATATACAGGGTGGGCCATTGGTGTGAAAAAGTAAAATAACTCCCTTGTTACTCATAATACAGAAAAAAAGTTTATATAAAAGTTGTACAAAATCAAAAAATCTAAAAGAAAAAAATAATTTGAAACACACAGGGCGATGAGTAAATGATAAACTGTTTATATTGCCGTATATAGAATTTTCTCGGAAATCCATATGTTTAAAAATATACAGGGTGTTCCATTTAAAAAATTTAATACAGAGTGTCCGGTAAGTACCTCCTAATCTCTCGGGAGTGTATAGGGGAGGTCAAAGTAAAACTAGTCCTTCCTATAATTTTTTTTCCTAATGTGCCCCCTAACGGAGTTATGGGGGGTCAAAAGGGTACCTAGAAATTAACGTTTAGGGTTATAACTTTGAAACCACCCTGTATATTTTAATAAAATTTTCGTACGTTGTATTACACATGGAGCTCTACGATTTGATGCTAAAATCAACTTTTTGCTATTATCAGGTGTCCAGAAACGGACTGGCCCTATCACAATTTTTCTCAAAATTTTGACAGAAGTAATTTTATCAAACTGAAAATATTATTATTAGATACTCTGAAGGTTTTTCTTTAAAAATGGTACTCTTTATTTATTTCGAAAAAATGAACGGTTTGCGAGATAAATCGGTTTTGAAAAAAATTGGTAACAAAAACAACAATTAAAATTTATTTTTTTTACATATTATTTCATGCATTTAATTTCTTTAACTTTATCAAGTCCAGAAATCTTTGAACGGGTTGGCTATACTTTATGAGCAAGTAGTGACCAATTAAAAATAACATTTGAAAAATAACTTACTTACAAGACATGCAACAAAGAACATTCAACAATGAACAAAGGTACCTAAATGTTACTTCGGTAGATGTTCAAAATGAGCACCCCGTACTTCAATGCACTTTCTAATCCTACGAATGTTTTCCCGGTGCACTTGAAATAATATTCCGTGATTATTGCGGAGATGGTCACAGTTCTGTGTTAGCCTCAGCAGAAGTTCCTCTCTACTATTTACGGGTGTTGAATAAACGTTATTTTTTAAATGACCCCACAGAAAAAAGTCTAATGGGTTTAGGTCGGGCGACCTAGGTGGCCATAATACAGGTCCGCCTCGACCTATCCATCGATCACCAAAAACATTCGTCAGATGTTGACGTACTAAACGATCAAAGTGGGGTGGTGCACCGTCATGCATGTACCACATTTCAGTTCTTATTTGAAGGGGCACTTCTTCTAACAAAATATTTAGATTTTCCTCTAAAAATTGCAAATAAAGAGCACCATTAAGTCTTTGCTCCAGAATAAATGGACCAATCAAATGATTCCCGATAATGCCAGCCCACACATTCACCATAAACCTTTGTTGGTAGCGAGTTTGAACTAAAGCGTGAGGGTTTTCTTCATCCCAGACATGTAGATTATGCGAATTAATTATGCCGTCTCTTGTAAAACCTGCTTCATCGGTGAACAAAATAGATGTACCAAAATTATGATTCCGAATATGATGCTGTAAAAACCAATTGGCGTATTGAAGTCTTTTTGGATAATCATCTGGAGACATAGCATGTACTTTTTGGATGTGGTACGGGTAAAGCAATTGTTCTTTCAGAGTTTCATGTACAGCCCATTTTGTAACATTGTTTTGCGCCGCAAGCTTCCTTATGCTATTTGAAGGATTATTAGCAACGTCTTCCAATATTTGTTCCTCTACATGAGGGTCTCGTACTCTCCTCGGGGCTCCTGCTCCACCACGGCGTGGCAAAAAGCTTCCTAAATAAAGGATTCGGAAGAAATTAGTTTCACTAACGTTTTTCACTATTTTTTTTTACCTGTTTCTCTTAAACTACGATCAACTCTTTCAAAAGTTTTTGGACTCGGCAAATGTCGACCCGGAAACCTTTCCTCATAAAGTCTTCTTGCCTCCACGGAGTTGCATAATGCTTCCCCATAAATTAGGTGCATATCAGCATATTCTGCACAGGAATATTCTTCCATTTTTAAATGTTATTTCTAACGGCTTAAAACGAATACCACAATAAAATTGAATTTTTATTCTGTCACGCGCCTTTGACAAGTACTTTAAAATCAACAGGGTCTAACAACGAAAACAATAGAAAAGAACTCCATGGAGACAAGAGCAATAATAATTTGTAGATGTATTTTGGTCATAGATGTTGATTTTACAAGAAACGGCATTATTCATTCCCTTAATTCACCACCAGTAAATGTTTATGGTGAATCTGTAGGCTGGCACTAGCGGGAATGATTTTATTGTAAAAAAATAAATTTTAATTGTTGTTGTATTTGTTACCAATTTTTTTCAAAACCGATTTATCTCGCAAACCGTTCATTTTTTCGAAATAAATAAAGAGTACCATTTTTAAAGAAAAACCTTCAGAGTATCTAATAATAATATTTTCAGTTTGATAAAATTACTTCTGTCAAAATTTTGAGAAAAATTGTGATAGGGCCAGTCCGTTTCTGGACACCTGATAATAGCAAAAAGTTGATTTTAGCATCAAATCGTAGAGCTCCATGTGTAATACAACGTACGAAAATTTTATTAAAATATACAGGGTGGTTTCAAAGTTATAACCCTAAACGTTAATTTCTAGGTACCCCTTTGACCCCCCATAACTCCGTTAGGGGGCACATTAGGAAAAAAAATTATAGGAAGGACTAGTTTTATTTTGACCTCCCCTATACACTCCCGAGAGATTAGGAGGTACTTACCGGACACCCTGTATTTGGCGTGTCCCGCTTTTACTCATCACCCTGTATGTATCAAATTAATTTTGTATTTTAAGTTTCTTGATTCTGTATAACTTTTATATAATTTTTTTTCTATGAGTAACAAGGGAATTATTTTACTTTCTCACACTAATGACCCACCCTGTATATACGGGGTGTCCAAAAATTAGTATATTCTACCGCATTTCGGGTGGCATCAAAATAACAAACGAAGTTCAAGGGAAAAAGAATAACTTTTATACAGGGTGTCTCGGTACTTGATACAAAAAAGTCGAGTACAATAGATGAGATAAATCTGTTGAAACTAACCTTATGATATTTTCTGAATTTATATTAGACCGTTTGGACAATCAGGTTCAGGTTGATGCGGTCTACACCGACTTTAGTAAGGCTTTCGACAAAATTGGTCATGGAATCTTGTTGATTAGGCTTGTTGAGGTCGGTGTGGGTGGCACCTTGCTGAACTGGATGGAGTCTTATTTGAACGACAGATCACAATGGGTTGAAGTTAACGGATTCACGTTAAATCTGCATATGATACCCTCAGGAGTACCTTTGGGGCCTTTAATGTTCATAATTTATATTAATAAAATAAAAGGATGTTTTAATTATTGTAGTTTGTTAGGATAAACTATTTTTACCTATACGTGATGTTACTGATTGTCTAAAACTTCAGAACGATCTTGATGCTTTTGTAATTTTTTGTAAAAACAATAATTTGTTTATTAATATCTACAAATGCCATATAATCACTTTTACTCGAAATAAACATCCTTTCCTATATCAATATATTATTAATGGCTTAATTTTAAATCGTAAAAATGAAATTAGAGACCTTGGAGTGATTTTTGATAGTAAAATGTCATTTGATGCCCATATTAATAAACTAATATCTAATACGCTTAAGATGCTGGGTTTCTTTATAGGACAGTCGAAGCAGTTCACTAATTCTAAAGCCATATTGCTTTTATAATACACGTTTGTATTTAGTAAAATTAATTTTGCTTCAGTTATATGGAATCCTCAATATAATACATATATTAGTCGTATTGAAATGATTCAACATACATTTTTAAAAAATGTAAAGTGTAGGCGAACTTTGAACGCCAACAATTTTCATAGTGTGTTGAATATAATATTATAAGTTTAGCCAACAGGAGAGTATTAGCGGATGTTATTAACCTATATAAAATTATTAATGGTAAAATCGACTGCGTCCAATTAATTAGTAAACTATTTTTTAATACACCATACAGGCCGTTTAGGTTACGACTTATTTTTCATTGCTTTTAAGCATACCAATGCCTCCTCAAACTCTCCTGTGTGCAGAATGATGCGTTCTTATAAGGATATTTGTAGCAGTTTACATTATTCTCTACATCTTTAGTTTCATTTAAGAGATCGCTGAAACGTATACTTCTGTTATAATATTTTTTATCCACGACTATTGTATAATGTACCCATTATACGTCTGTTTGCACGACCTTAATAATACCCATTAATCACGGCAGTGATTAATGAGTCATTAATCACTACTGTCAGATGCTTCCTTAATTTAGCTATAATATTATATTGTTCTGCTACAAACAATNTACAAAAAAGTCGAGTACAATAGATGAGATAAATCTGTTGAAACTAACCTTATGATATTTTCTGAATTTATATTAGACCGTTTGGACAATCAGGTTCAGGTTGATGCAGTCTACACCGACTTTAGTAAGGCTTTCGACAAAATTGGTCATGGAATCTTGTTGATTAGGCTTGTTGAGGTCGGTGTGGGTGGCACCTTGCTGAACTGGATGGAGTCTTATTTGACCGACAGATCACAATGTGTTGAAGTTAACGGATTCACGTTAAATCTCAATATGATACTCTCAGGAGTACCTCAGGGATGGCTTTGGGGCCTTTAATGTTCATAATTTATATTAATAAAATAAAAGAATGCTTTAATTATTGTAGTTTGTTAGGATATACTGATGATTTTAAGCTATTTTTACCTATACGTGATGTTACTGATTATCTAAAACTTCAGAACGATCTTGACGCTTTTGTATTTTTTTGTAAAAACATTAATTTATTTATTAATATCTACAAATGCCATATAATCACTTTTACTCGAAATAAACATCCTCTCCTATATCAATCTAGTATTAATGACTTAATTTTAAATCGTAAAAATGAAATTAAAGACCTTGGAGTGATTTTTTATAGTAAAA